TTCTTCCTTAATGACGTTTCCAACGTAATATTGAGCAAAAACAGCTAAATGAGCAGATTTAGCGACGTCAGTGCTTTCGTCAAGACATACCGATATAAAAGAAGCAGAGCTAATGTCAATTTTTTGTTGATCTGTTACATTTTCGGCCAGTTTTAAGATTCTTTCTTTTATTGTGTTTCTGGGCAGAGGAGTATCTTTGATGCGCTGAATTATCTTATCTCTATTATCGAAATCATCAAAAAGAGGGGGCGCCCATGCTAACCAGATTTCCTGTAAAAACTGTCCCTCTTGAAAAGGTTTACTATGCCGAACAATGACATTTGTAGCCGCGCAACTTGCCATGGTTCGCTTTTTTGACTAACGGATTTGTGATTTGTTTCAAAATGCCGTTTTACAGACGATGTTCCAGAACATAAAACACACACCGCCTTGTCACCTTTACTAATCATGCCATATTTCTCTGTCCACCAAGTTTGAAATTCTCTGATACTCTTTCTATCTTGGACTTTTGGTTTTTTTGCTGAACTAGCCATATTAAATAACAGTTAAAATCATAGATAAAACTCAAATAAACTTCAAATCAAATATTCGCTGTTATGTTATGCATAAACAAACTATGCGTCATTAGCGATAAAAACTCGTGATGTAGATTGTAGGGATCACTCGCGTTCGCCCGTCATATAATACCTACTTCACACTTTTTCGTAGTGCATCATAATGAATTTTGTGATCAGTGACGTGTCCAAAATATTGCGTTCCGTGCCATCCCTACCCTAGGATGCATAAACTGCAGCTGAAGGCGAATCTTGAAGGCGAGCTTGAAGGAGAATTTTATTTGGTTACCGAAGGTTTACCCATGGGGATGCCATTATCTGGATTGCTGGCGGATATATTTTTGGATCATATTGAAAAGAATTTCATCATGAATGAAGCTAATCCTTACGTGAACAATATTGGCTGTTGGGCTAGATATGTGGATCACGTCTTTTGTGTATGGAAGGGGAATGAGGAATCTTTACATAACTTTCACAATTACAACAATGGTTTACAGAGCAATCTTAAATACACACTGGAAATGGAAGAAAAAGGAAAACTAAATTTCTTGAATTTGAGCTTAACGAGAACCAAAGATTATTTAATTGAAGATGGGATTTTTAAAAAAACTTCAGCTATAGCCACTACCATACCATACAATTCAGAACACCTTTGTCCCAAAAATTAGCTAATTTTAGATTTTTAATTAATAGAATTTTCAGCTACCCATTAAGACAGAGGAAATTAATTACATATTTGATTAGCCCACAATAATAGCTTTCCTAAAAATATCATTTGTATATTTGGTTGTTTTCTAAAGCTCAAACATAAAAGGATCCATTGTTTATTAGAGAAGTGCAGCAAAATAAATATATTTATGTGAATAAAAAACGTAAATGAAAGAAAAGATGAATTCAGATTATGAAAACTAAGAGTGAAACCGACGTGGCTATTGTTCCTGAAGATGACTAAAAAAGAATAGTCGAAACCGGTTGAGCCGAAAATAAAGAAAATTCCACCCTTCTGAAAAGCAAAGTTTTTTATTCACATAAATATTCTAACAAGATGGGAAGTAATAATGTTAATGAAAATAAATATAGGCACATAACATTTAATGACATCACTTTAAAGGCATAACATATTTTTTCTAAATATGGAATTTCAATTAGCATTTTCAAATAGCAACGCCATTTTAAGACTTCTGTCAAATTATCACAAAAACGATAAAGATATAATGAAAGAAAGCGGGGTGTATAGCATTGGATGTGAAAATTGTAACTCACTGTACATAGGACAGACAGGTCNGCCCATAATCTCGCTGTTCTATCATTAGAACACGTTGCAAAATAATAACCCATCGGTGAAAATCGAACGTTCCAAACCGGGTACATATGACCTTTATAAACAACAACACAATTCCAAATTTGAAGACTCCACAAACGGATTGTGGTATCCTCAGAACAACTCAATAAAAGAGAACGATCTGGTGAAAACGCCAGGGAATATACAGCGCCGGAATGGCCAAACATCGTTCTGGAAGATTCCCCAGATCTTTGATCCATCATTCGAACGAGAACATCATCCGCGTCGATATTGATATCTTGAAGTTGATCGGCGCTTTTCATCGATCTTAATTTTTGTGGAATTAATGTGTATACTTTTATTGATGCATCCGCCATTCCAACAGCTAACATACTGGAATCTTCGGCCACTTCAGCACTGGATACACTACATTAAAAACGTTATTAAATGTTTAAAAATTAAAAAAAAAATCTTACTTATGATTTGCATTTAATAACGTATAACTGCATATTGATGGTAAAGTTTCAGCTCCCAAATTAACTCTTCTGGACGATTCTCTAAGCAGTTTTATCCTTTCTATTTTATCGTTGTCTTTCCTAAATATAAATAATGTATAAGGTTTTAATAAATAAATTATATTAACGCCTGGTTTTATAATCAACTTTTACCAACCTTCTGATAAAGTATCTAGGTGATAACAGCCGATTTTAGCAAAGATCATAAAATCTAAAGACTGTCACATCTTTTGTAATCTAGAAAATGATGTCAGAGAATGAAAATGATGTTATACATATAAATCAAGTTTTCCAATAAAACACAAAAGAGCCCGATTCAATGTACCTTAGTGGACTAACTAAGGATCTTGAACAAATCGGGCATTCCAAACTCTAGCATTCCCATGTAACTATCCAAGGTGAAGAAATTCCTTTCTCAAAGGAAGTCAAATATCTAGGAGTAATCCTAGACAAAACCTTGTCATGGAAAGGAGATTTGTAAGGAATTTTGCACAAAGCTAGACTATCCTTGTGGACTTGTCGCAGTCTTTGTGGAAAAAATTGGGGTCTTACCCCTGAAAGACTGTACTGGCTCTATGTGACTGTGGTTAGACCCACGATCACATATGAAGCAGCAGCCTAGTACAGGAAAGTCCGACAGACTTCAGTTATCAATAAAGTTTCATGAATTCAATGGGTAGCTGGATTGGCAGTCTCTGGTGCGATAAGCACAACGCTAACTCTAGCAAATTGATGTTCTGCTTGGCTTATCTCTTTGAATTTCCATATAGAGAAAGTGACTAGAACTACCATTTACTTAGGTTTACTACTATTTATTTAGGTTGACTGCCATGTGTTCCGTTTCTGGTACACATACGTTGGTTTATGCAAGCGACTGTATTTTGTTTTAAGTATTGTCCTTGAGGCCATGATGTATATTTATACGCCGGGAAAGAAGCAATGCAAGGAATATCCGTGTCTAACAAAGTTGTTATGAAATTAACCTGTACAATAAAGTCTACATACACCCCAGAAAATCATAATATCTCAGAACTGAACTGTATGAAATTTGAACTCAATGAAATTTTTAAACGAAGGATATTAGAAGTGTATATTATTATAATATTTTACATAAAAATGTATAACTCATTATTTATAATGAAAAACACAAAACATAATCACATTTATAACTCAAAAAAGACTACATACGTAGTTTCCTGTTACATTCACAATTAAAACAACTCAAAATTTACATACTAATTAATATTTGGTAGGTCCTCCCTTGGCAGCAAGAACTGCTGCTAATCGTCGAGGCATAAAATCAACTAAATTAGCTGTAATTTCTGGTGAAATACTCTGCCATTCCCGTAATAGTGCAGCTTTTAAGTTGTTTTTATTTTTAATACCTAGCTTCCGAATTTTGCGGTCAAGAAGACTGCGGTGGTGACTGTAGCTGTTTAGGGATATTATAATAATACCCATTCCTTCACAATGTGTGCGTTGTGCATGGGATCATTATCGCGTTGGAATATCCACTCTGTTCCCAAGCCTAATTTATTGACGATTCCTTTAAATTAGTTCGCAATATGTTCAGATAAACATAGCGGTCCATAATTG